GAATGAGGGAAGGAGACGAGATTCTAGATCATACCTCACACAATTACTTATTACTAGAGCCGAATGTTCATGAGTATTTAAAAAGGAATCCTTTAGCCTAGCTACCAAACAGCCAATGAGTGGGAATGAGAGCCTAGCTTGACAACGACTAATTAAGTATTTACTTCCAGGCAATTTTTACTTATTACATGTATTTCTATGCAGGCCCACAACAAGACAAGTCTGTTATTCTCATTCGCGCTTGGCCTACACTGCTTATCGAACAAATTTGATCCAACAAAACAAGCGCCACCCATGTAGTAAGACATATGCCTAACCGTTGTGTTTGTGTTTTCATAACATAACAGTAGATATATTTTTTTTTCTACAGGTCGTTTCGAATAGGCGCGCGTGGTGCCTGACGCACGGCACACGTAACGTATCTTTAGTTTAAGTATTGTTCCGTTATGGTGGTCAGGTTTTTAAAAATATCGCGTCATCAAAATTTGTGTATGTACACAACTACCAAGGAAATTTTCCGAGTTTGACAGCCATCGTACGCTCATCGAATTTATTAAAATGGTATTGTATTTGCTTGTGTATTTCTCCACTGTTAAATTTTTTGGTCAGTCCCCGAGGCCCTTGACCCGACCTTCGAGCCCCTTTAATCACAAAGGCCCGCTGAGGTTAATTTTCGCAAATGTGCCATTTTCCAACTTTACTTAGCCTAGATCTAGATATCTAGATCTAGATCTAGAATCTACATGATAGGTAAATTGGCTCATTTTAAATAATGTGCAATTCTACATTCTGTTTCAGAATTACTTGTACTTGTGTAGCCTATTGTAGATATGCAATTTCAATTGATAGGTGTTACAAGATGCATTCTTTTGCTTTCCAATGAAACCAGAAAGAGATGTCTTGCATGACAGAGTAATTTCTAAATGAAATTTTTTATGCGGCATACCAGAGTTGCATTTTCCCCATTTCAATGCAAATTCCCTGGTACACCATGTCCACATATATCACCGACAAATGAGATCAAAACATAGCATTCTTGATACCTTTAAGGCAAATGAGCACGCTGAGAGTCTTAATTCAAATTCATTTAAGAATTTATGATTACGATAACGGCGAAGAATATAACCTAAACAAGAAACATAATTCATATTACGTTGCACAATGAAAGATCATTCTCCAGTTTCAATCTTTGGCCTCATTCTCACCCTCTTATTTGTAAAACTATGTACTACAGGTTCCTTTTAGTTTTATTCCTGTACTTGAAAGAACGTTCAATTATTAACAACATATATCCATGAATGATAAGAGAATTGATTGACAAACATATATATATATATGAGTTATGGATTTTTTAGAAACTCCCAATTTTGCTGGGTTCTTGGAAATAAAAGGTGGCCCACATCTTAGTCCTTGGTAACTTAAAGTGATGAGGGTGCAGCTTTGAAATATCACATCCTACAAAAAACATTTTAGTACCTATTGAATAAAATAAATCAATTTGAAAGAGTATTCAGTCATCCAATCCATTAGCCGACACTTTGCATATTTATTTGCAAATATTTTATTATTTGTTGTTTACTATGAAAGTTATATTTGCTCTTTCTCCTCCTCTTGTCTTTGATCAAAGCCTTCCGAAAGTTTTGGAGTAAAGTTGGTTGCAAAATGTCGGCCTTTGACATCAGATGAGGAAGACACTGGTGGAAATTCAGTCGTTTCTGTGTCTGGTGACAAAGTCAAGGTGAACTGTGCGGGAAAGGTAATAAAACTTTTAAAATTTTGTATTCTTGAAACCTCATATGATATATTTGCTTTCTGATGTCGAAATATTTATGTTCAAGTCCTTCAGAGACATTTTCAGGGTGTCTTTGTAGCTCTTATTTTGTTTTGGTGTGCCAACCTTATATGCTTCCCTGAGGACAGTTCAGAATAGAATACTACCTTTGAGATTCTGAAATCAGGCATTCTTACCCAGCCCAGCAAAGCTGAATCCTTTAAATTTAAGCTTAGAATACAGGCTCTCGGCATTTGCCCTTTTGAGAACTTGTGTGTGCACAACACAAAGTGATCTACCAAGACATCCCAAGGGTCTTTTTTAAGGTATCAAGGAATATGAAGTTGGCTGGGAGAAACTTCGCCTTCTTTAGAGAATATAATTAATGACTATCCCCTGTGAGATATATGTGCTTGCTTAGATTGATTCAAGCATTAACAAAAAAAGCATTGGGTCTCAAGAATAACTTTGGAAATAGGATGTGGCTACTTGAAGAGCGCAATGACCATGCTTTCTGCATGGTTGGTAAAATGCTGTACACAGAAAGTTCCTCTCTGAAATGATGATCCTTTTTGGGGACAAAAAAATGAGATAATTCACTTCCATGGGCTTTGCCTACCTCTCGAAGATCATTTAGCTCTCTTTCAATCTCTTTGTCATTTTTACATTCATTCCTATGCGCAATTTCTGTGAATTAGTAGTAATTGGCATAGTAATCAACCGGGAAAATATATTCATAACCATGTGTGCATATATGTGTGCGTATGCATATAGTGTGTGTGTGTGTTTGTGAATGTTCAAATTGTCTTTGAAGTACCTGAAGGAAATAACAAAACTTTTTAAAAGAAGGGTGTTAAATCAAAGCCTAATAATTTTTGTTACACGTGAAACATCATCTTGAAGTTTTGCAAAGTTCTTTCAGAAGTTTGTCATTTTAGAGACTTACAGACATATTATGGGTGTCTTTAACAAAAATCCCATTGATTTATTTGATTTGAATGAGAATATTATATTAGATATTTTCAAGTTATTTATTATTTCAACAGGAATCCTCGTTTTCATTTGATGGCGTCTTTGGGCCAGAAAAAAGTAACGTGAGTAAACATATTATGTAATGTATTATCTTCCAAGGCATTTAAAACCTTTCACCAGATGATAAAATAGCATCAATTGCATAGATTTGCAAATGATGAAATTAAGGACCACCTGCTTAAGTGACCCCGTTATTTTGTTTAAATCTACTTAAATGGTGGAATTGGACTACTTTTTAATGTCTCCCTTTTCCCTTAGACTCATCCTATGTATGGTAGATATTAGGCAGCAAGTCACTCCCTTTGTCTCTGCCTTTCTTAGTCTTTTTAAAAAATGTATTGAGAGGATTGAAATTTTGTACAAGGTTTGCATTGTTTTGGAAAGAAGCAGCTTGGGCATTTGGTCAATTTCTCTGTCTCTGATGGTCTTTTTTGAGCATAGGGCGTAAATACTGAAAGTTTTTTCGAGAGATAATGGCAGACAGACTGGGTTGTACAAATTTTTGTATGCTCTGTTTCTAGCATCTTGAATGATGGTATTTTTAACAGATGCAAAACTTGTTCAAGACTTGTCCATGTACAAAGCATGCAAGGTGAACTCACAGAACTGCACTAGCAATGTCATATCAGAATCACAGATGTGTCAGATCTTTCAATGAAGGATTAACACAGTTCTAAATTACATTATCTCACTACAAAGATGAGAGAAATAAGTGATCATGGGCAAACTTGTGGATTTTTTAGGTTTTTAAAGTGATCTTTTTAGCAATTATTTTTAAAGTCCAAAGTAGGTATCCATGTGTGTTACAACAAGTCATTGTATTATTAACCGGCAAGATTGTTTTTCATGAGATTTAAGAAAAATAGCAGAACTTCACGTGGGCAGCTTGTGTGTGTTATAAATGTTTATAAAGTTTTATCGTCAGAGAATGTGGAAAACTCACATGCTTTTATGACATAAATTTCTTTTCACAGAGACATGTCTACGAACAAGCTGTGACACCACTTCTTCAAAAGGCTCTTGATGGCAACAATGTTTCTATTCTTGCCTTTGGAGCGGTAAGAACTTTTTAAAAAAAGGGAAATCAAGTTGAGCCCTTATGATTAATACAGTAGAGCTTGCTTGTTCCCTGATATTAAATCAGAAAGTTATTGAATAAGACTATCTAAATTAAATTGAATTTTTTAAAAACAATTTTAGTGGCTCAAGGCCCTTTTCCTTTGATAACGTCAAACTATTTGCAAATTTTCGATGATTATAAAAAATTTAATTTTTGCTTTAGGTGATTTTTTCCCCCTGTTTTTTGCCTTTGTTTTTCATTTCTTTGATTTTCAGCTAAAAAATGCTGTAGATTCTGCGTGTTTCATTTCTAAAAGCTGAAATTTGGCATAGACATTTATGAATCAATCTAGTATCGTATACGGAATCTATGGGTCCCTGGCTTAGCTTAGTATGGAGCCAGGTCAATGTGAATGGCTGGCAAGAGTCTGGAGTGGCACAGACATTATCATGATGCAGTTTTCATTATTTCTAACATTATCTCTATGTAATTACTTGCATGTGAGCTTTTCAGCTAACACATTTTTGTTTGTTTGTTAAAGCATTTACTGTGACCTTATACAATTGTAGCATCGGTGGCCTAGGTTTCCTTGGGAAAGGCACTTTGCACGAATTTTCCTCACTTCATTCCGGTGGAAATGAGTACCTGGCTATAGAAAGTGAACGATCTTATCAGTTTGATAATGTATGAGTACGAGAAATCTGCAGCTTGCACTGTATGCTTCCGCGGAAGCCGAGAATGTTTTCAAGATGGTCTGCTGGGGTAATAATTGTTGTAAAACGCGTTTATTCTCTACAGCATGGATATGCGCTTTATAAATGCAATAATTATTATTACTTTATTTATTTTTTACTTTTTAAAAGACAGATTTAGATGAAAATAGGGAAACAAATGAAATTTCAGTCTTTAATTTTCATGAATAATGATATGTATTAATTGATTTAGTCTCAATGATTATTCATGAGTTTGGTGTTCTTCACAGACTGGTGGAGGGAAAAGTCACATCATGACTGGATCAGAAGCAGACCCAGGTGTCATTCCACTGGTAAGTCATAGATATGTACTGAAGTTTTAAAAAAGGGAGAGGGCAAAGGTATTTCTTTATTTGCAAAGAAACCCTGTGACTGCAGTGATCTTTTGGAAGTAATATGTCTCTTCGCCTGCTTACTCTTCTTGAATGTTTACCAAAGATTCGTGCAACAACTGTGGTGTAATGGTTAATTTCCAATGGGGAAAATTTTTGTCAAGAACATGTATATGTGAGGCATCATGGGAACATGAGGCGCTCGTTAAAATAATGAAATAAAAGAAAACGGCATTTTTCTTCCCATTTCGTAAGTTTTATCTATCTTTTATTTTTTGACTCAGCACCTTTTATGTCCATTTAGAAACTCATTACTGTGTGGATTTTACTGAAAACAGTTGATTTAAGGCCAATAAATGTAAATTTTCAGTTTCCAAGGACTCCCAAGCTTTGTAAGTCTTCAAATTTTGGTGGCCATTATCTAGCTAATTTTACCCATAAACGAGGCGGCTCCCATCTCCAATCACAAATATCTCGACTTCTATTTAAGAAAGATGGGTATTTTTGTTGAAGGCAAGACAAGTGAACAAGCTTTAAGATGGTACCAGTAACTCCACATGCCTAAAAATTGATGAGCGCCTGATTCCACTGCATTTTGACACATATCTGTTTGAATGCAGGGATATTGTGTCCCTCTCAACAAGGTTTGGCCCTAACAGACAGGGTCAAAGCAGCCTGCCTCCTTAATGATCTGAATTGCATTGATGGGGTCTTAAAACATTTGCATGTAAAAATTCTTTGATGGGGTCTTAAAACATTTGCATGTAAAAATTCTTTGATTCCGAAGATTCCTGGTTGTGTGTTAACCCTATCCGTACGTCGTGTTTGAATATCGTATCCATACGACGTGGGGAACTCTGTGCCACCACTTTCCAAAGAGGAATCTTACTCGCTAGTCCGACCCATACGCTTTGCACAACAGTCTGTCAAAATGATTTTTTGAGAAATGCTGAAAGTTTCAAAGAGATCTTTGCACTAGAAGTATTCTAAAATGTGAAGAATACAACCCCAGGGGTACAAAATTACCCCAGGGCGCACGGATAGGGATAAATTTCCTTGTACACTCCACTTACTATTACCTGCTGGACCTCAAGGAGAAGGTGGGACAACCTCAGTACAGTATGTTCTGAATTCGAAAGCTGAGTTGTTTATGGTTGTTGTTTCAGATGACTCAGAATTTGTTTCGGCACATCCAGGAAAGGAGCAACAAGGAGTTCATGGTCACAGTTTCACATGTTGAGGTATGTTCTTCTCATGGTCCACTTCAAAATTCCATGAGGTTAAAGTAGCTCACCTCTCATGGCAGAGCCCCTGGTTTTGTTTCTGGGCCTTGCTGGTACAGTGGACAACTTTAAACTTTACTCAAGCTCTTCACTTCCCTGATCTTAGGAGGACAATAAAGATTCTTCACCTTTTGTCTTTGTGAATGGAAAAAAAAAACTTGAGATTATATGACTTTTTGTGATAATTTAGGACACTCTACCAATTGTAAAGCTTTTTACTATAAGGACCAGGCCTGCTAAAAAAAAGAATACTACGCTGTGAGAAGCAAAACTGACGGGTTACCCTTAATAGACTGCAAATATACATGCTCATTTGGACTTTAAAAAAACTTTTTTTTTTCAGGGGAAGACTGTTTTGTATTGCCTGCCATTTAGGTTTTTCTTCTACACTGAAAGCACCAAAAAAAATAGTTCATAACGAGCAAGTCAGTTGATGAGTTTAAGATTGCATTCATATCGACACTTACTGAGTAAACACTTATTTAGAAGGACATCTGAAAATTGTCTTACAAAATTTATGTTTCACACCTTAACTCACTCAACCCTAGGCTTACACTTCCGGGTTAATTGTCAGCTCTCCCTAGAGATTTTTACCACTTTTTGAAAAATTGAAAAAAATACTAAATTTTAACATATCCTACCCAAATTTGGTACACATTTCATTTTATTCAAACCTTTATGTGCAGTGAAAATTTGAAGGCTAAATATATCATAATTTTTATGCAATATTCCGTGAAAAAAGGTTCTGTACTGAGTAAAAAAGTAAGCAAAAAGCAAAGACAGAAAGTGCGTTCAAATTTCGCACTCCCTCACATGGTTCTCGAATATAACTTTCGTTGTTCTTAATTTTGGCTTTCACTTCAGGTCATAGTCTGTTTCAAACAAAAAATGGATACTCTTCCAATTAGGCTATAGTCTGCTTCACACAAAAGTATTGTTTTTGGTCATGAGAGCGAAATTTTCCATACCGATACTGTCGGCGTTAGGGTTGGAGTGTTGCTCGCGTATATCGACATTATCGGCTTTAGGGCTGGGTGAGTTAATATATTCCTGTTGCATTTGCAGTGCAATATTTTATCAGGCATGAATAATTTATTGTTTCAAGATTTTAGCCTTTCATCTTATTTCACCTTTTTCATGTTTTTCGTTCTGGAAAACTGATAAATAATGGATAATTGCTTTTTTTGTCTAAAGATACTGGATGAGAATATGACTGACCTTCTCAACCCCCATACTAGAAGCATGAAAATTCGTCAACATCCACACAAGGGAATGTGAGTTTTACAGATATATTTTTCTTGTGCACCTATGCTACCACTGTCAGCTGCTGAATAACTTCAATAGTATCAATTTTCATGACATACAAACTGATAATATTAATTTTAATGGTAAACAAATCAGTGATATTGATTTTGATTATATGAAATTCTTTTCTATGTTCTTAGCTGAAAGAATCCTTCTCTTTTTAGTCTTATATGTATACAAAATAATATTTGCTGATGGTAAAAGATTCAGAATTTGTATAAATATTGTGACTCTGAAATGTTTTGTGTTTTGTTGGTTTGTTTTGTTTGTGTGTGTGTGTGTGTGTGTGTGTGTGTGCGTGCATGCGTGTGTATGTGTGTGTTTGACTTCTTCTCTGAATGTATTTTTCCAGTTTCATCGATGGTCTCTCAGAGTTGGTTGTTCACACTGGTGATGACATTGCACTCTTGTATGATCAAGGAACTAGAGCCAGGAAACTTGGATCATCAGATATCAAGACTCATGCAGCACGGTTTGTGGGCTTTCAAAATGTTGCTGTTCAAGTGTTGACATTTCTTTACATTTCCTGGTGTCTCTGGAATGCTTACTTTTCAAAATGTTTGGAAATTCATTTTTACTGCTATTCAGAAATTATGGAAAGAAATGTCTTTTACAAAATAAATTGCTATGGTCAGGATATTTAAATGTTCTACGAGGCTACCTTGATTTCTGTTTATGTGAGATTTTAGTTATTGAAAGTGACTTGTGATAGAAGGTTTTAGTATTCTGTTGGAGTAAGCAAGATTTTGTTCTTTCTGAATTAGTTATGGGAACAAGGCTGTATTATTGTTCACAATTATGTAATTTTTTTCTCTTAGTGATTTCATAAACAGAGTGTTTTAAATGTCTCTGATTCTTCAAACATTAGTTTATTCAAAACCAGTTCAGGTATGTCTTGTTTTTCAGACCAAAGTTAAATGCAGACTGGGTTTTTTTTCTACTTTCCTTCGTCTTAATTTGGTCTCTCTTTTTGACAGCACAATCAAAACCACTTTAATATTATAAAACCTTTGAAGCAAATCCAGAAAAGGCCTAAGAAAGGAAATGGACACTTTCGAGATAGATTTTTATCAAGTGCCCCAGTTACAACAGTTTTGTAAATTTTCCAAGTAATTAATTAGAGTATACCAGGCTGACACGCCCTGTATGGGTGTTTGCTGGGTGTTTGTATCTGGACTACTCCTCTCCTGGACTGTGACTCTTATTACAGGGTTTATTTGCTTCCCGGTATGTACACATTGGTACAGTTTCTGTATTATTACATATCCTGCCGCAGTGACGAGGAAGTATTGGGAAAGAGAACTGTTGTAAGGTTTTATTTTCAGAGTCCATAAAAGAATCTACCTAATGTAGATTGATCTATATCTGGAATTATGTGCAAACTTTATAATCACACTGGAAATGTTATCCTTTGGTGATTGAAGCTTTATTGGATAAAGAGTACTTTTTATATTTTGAGTGATAGACTATCTAAATGCTGAAGAGAAATTTAGTATGAAAAATTGATTTAATTATTCCAAATTACATCTTTTGCAGGGCAAATGCTATTTTCATCGTTTGCGTTGAACAGAAGGAAAGACAGTCAAGTAAAGTTGGCCTTAGGTCAACAATTCTTTTGGCAGATTTAGCAGGTAATTCTACACATACAGTCAAAATTGACACCTAACAACTTTTAAAGCTTTTTTCATCTGGTTTTAGTTTACTGAAATTCAAAGACAACTGTGGTTTACATCTTACATACAACCACTTGGCCTGTCTTTTTGGTTTGCCTAGGATCCTACTTTTTTAAAATATCTGAATGTTTAGATAATGTTGTACTCAGATCCCGATTTTCCTGCTCACATAGCATCACTCTTTGTAGATTCTGATGCACTTTGATGCGGTGGGATCAGAGGATTATTATACAGAAATAACCTATTCAAGTGTGAACATCATGACTATCGGTTTACAAATACAGTTGTTGTTGTTGTTGTTTGTTTCAAAAAAGGTACTGATTATATCTTAAGAATTTTTCTTGGTTTTTAATTATTTTTAGGTTGTGAAGCCCAGAGCAGCGCAGATCCAAATATCAATGCTGGGTAAGCTCTAACCTTTATCTTTTCCTTTAGTTAAGAAAAGTTGACTTCCAGTCAGTTGTGCAGATCATGATAGTATTAGACAATGAGGAGAAGAATATAATGAATGGAACTGCTTCATTTATCGTTTCATTCTGAAACTGAGATGACTCTGTCATTTTTTCCAGAATATACATATACTAACTCTTAAAGGAACAGCAGAACTGGGGAAGAATTTCGAAGCTATTGCTGTTGAGGCCTGGGGTGTTTATTTAATGTGAATGAGAAAAGTGTTTGTAGTCTGGCTAGTTTGTAGAATCTCGTTGATGTAAATCTATGTATTTTATCATGTTTAAGCCAACGTGTGCCCATAGAAGTAAAAAAAAAATTGTTTTTACTCTGTCATTCAGAGCCAGAGGAGTTCTGAACATTATCAGTGCCCTTGGAGATGGAAAAAGAAAAGGTGGACACATCCCTTACCGAGACTCCAAAGTGTCGAGGGTGCTACAGGTATGTTAGTTGTAGGAATGTTTGATCACAGTCTTAGTTTTTACATGTTTTCAATTATTTAAGACAGTTCAAACATATCTTTATCTGTTATGTATGTGTTGAGAGTTTTTAAAAATCAGACCTTTTCAGGTCAATTCAGCTGTTGGAACTTGTGTGAATATTTTATATTAAAAGCAAAGGATTCTAAAAAGACAAATTTTATGTCAGTGTATGAACAATTCATTATTCTGTAGGTTGACAAGACCGTGATCATGGTGTCCACTGAAGGAGATCAGAAGAAGAAGGAATAGAAATATAATTTGATATTAGATTTTTACTTCTGTTTTCGATTAAACCAATTGAAAGATCCAATATAATTTGATATTAGATTTTTACTTCTGTTTTCGATTAAACCAATTGAAAGATCCTGATAAGAGAACGGAGACATAAGTGTGGTTTGATTAACACCTGTTGTGCCAGTACCATCTTCTTTGTATTTTCATAAAACAGGTATTGGCATTGTGTTAAGGTTCAGACATGCCTGTTAGTATTGATGATACAAGATTTGAAAGACTGGAGGTAACGAAGAGGAACGAAAACAATAATATAGAAGAGGCCGCTTTTAAACCAAACATGTGAAGCGTGCTGACAAAATGAGTTACTTCTCGCAATCCACAAATGGAGATATTGGCCAAAAATCGACATTAGCCAAACTTGTAGGTTTTCAATTGATGCCATGTTCTTTAACTATAACCTGACTTTTATTATTTCATACTTAAAAACTGTAAAAACTTCACCTATAAGCGTGATGTGTCTATTTCCTTGAGGCTTGAATCTGAGAAGTAACTCATTTTGTCAGCACACTTCACACATGGTTTATGTGAAGACAGAAGTAAACTGAAAGAAAAAAAATTCTCCTGAGGTTTTAACTTCTTTTCAAGCAACCTTCCTAAACCAAAAACCATCTAAACAGATTTTGGTTTTAGTGGACTTCACTGTACGTTTACCAAGAAAGAGCATTCAACTCCGTAATAATTTTAGTAAAAATGTCTCTGTTTTACAGGATTCCCTGGGAGGAAACTCTGCCACGCTGATTATTGCTGCGCTTTCTCCCCTAGGTAAATTTCTTGTGTGAAATCCACAGACTGAGTTTAATGTACTTGTAGATGTTCTGTGTTCCCTTTGACACAATTTGGATCATTTAGAACTCAGAGCTAAGCTTAATAAATAAATCGTTGCTGTTTATCCATAACTTATTGAATTTGAACTGAAAATTAGACTGTTTTGTGCTTGCAACCTCAACATACTTTGATTCTGAAATTTGACACTGTTAATCATTTCGGTATAATTAATTATGAAAAGCTCTTGTGAATTTCGCAAAGTGATGACAGTAAAATAAAATTTGAGCTCTTGTTGGTGTAAATTAAACTGGCAATGAAATTAGACATATGGTTTTTTATCACTACTGTCTGCATGTCTGTAGGTCTGGAAAGTTTGTAGATTAAAATATTTTTGCACAGCTTTATGAAACATCAGGTCTGTGGAGTAAGTCTTTGAATGCTCCAATAGAATAGTATCTACTGCTGACTATTGTTTCTTTATTTAAATTATTTATGATTCTTACTTATTTTTATGTATTGCATTCTATATACGTGCATATTTTCAGAAGACCTAATTTAAAACATTGCAAGTAGAAAATTGAAGGGTAGCAGTAAGGGAAGAGAACTGATGCTATATGATAGAGGGAGATAGCATTGTAACCCATGTTCAGAAGTTTCAGTAAGTAAGTGTATGGGCTAAATGCCCTTATCAATACTGTTAGGTGGGACTTCAAAATTTAATATATGTCCCCAATAAGAGAGAGCCAAATGGGTTGAGATTAATGAAAACTCCACAGAACAACTCGAGTTCAAGAACGCCCAGTCTGGGATTCAAACTAAGGCCATCTGCTCCCCAGTTCGTCATGATAACAACTGAGTTATTGGAGTGCCTAGTGTTTATATGGATCAATTCAGATAGAATTATTTTTCTTTGTATTGTAGTATATTTCTTGTAATTACAATTTATTAGTAGTGGCTTTCAGATTTCAAGAAATAATCTACCGCGCTGTGGATCAATTCAGATAGAATTATTAATCTTTGTATTCTAGCAGATTCTATATTACTTGTACTTACAATTTATTAGTTGTGGCTTTCAGATTTCAAGAAATAATCTACGGTGCTGTGGATCAATTCAGATAGAATTATTATTCTTTGTATTATAATTATAGTAGATTCTATATTACTTGTACTTACAATTTATTAGTAGTGGCTTTCAGATTTCAAGAAATAATATATATATGGCGCTGTGGATCAAATCAGATAGAATTATTATTCTTTGTATTGTAGTATATAACTTGTACTTACAATTGATAAGTAGTGGCTTTCTGATTTCAAGAAATAATCTACGGCAGACATCATTATAATGTAGTAGTGGTTTTGTTTCTGAAGTTGTTTCTGACTTTTGCTTATTAATTTTTGTTGCAGACAAAAGCTACCAAGACACACTTACTTGTCTTCAGTACTGCAGTTTTGCTAAAAACATCAAGAATACAGTACAGTTAAATCTGGTAATATATGCGCATTGATTTTTTAAATCATTACGTGAGTCTGTGCCTGTATATGAGTCAATTCTGCCAGCTCTTAGTGCAATAATGGCAGTTTTGTTCAAAATCTACTGTTTGTGTCAGCTTATGGTGCTTTTGTTTTCTTTGTATCTTGTTATGATCTTACATAAAATAAAATAGCAGGATTTCTACCTTTAGAGAAGCTTACTTTGGCTGCAGTACTCGTTCAATTTGAGTTTTAGTTAACTTCTGAATGAAGCATATTCTTGGCATTATTCATGCTATGCAAAATGGTTCTGACCACCTTCTCTCTTTCATCGATACAATTTTTCACTACCATTACAAGTAGAGTTATATATTTTGAACAGTCATTTGCAGAACTGAATATTGTTTACTTTCGAATAACTTTTGTGGGGTTATATTTATGATAGCTAATTTTTTGTTGGATTCTTAAAAAGAAAAACAGGTGGGTGGTTGACAGGTGCTCAGGTGTGGTATGATCCTTCCTTCTTATCATACGTCTATCATCCGTATCTCCCCTCCTTCTTTTTTGTGTTTGTTACTCTCTGGTTTCACCTCTAATCTTTGGCACATATGAAGTTATGTGACCTGATTGTGTTGCAAGTGCCATAATACTCTTACTGAAACAAAAAAAAGGATACACACTTAACAATACAATAAAAATGAATACAATATGCACAGCAATTTCAAGAAGGACAAACATTTATGGCTTGAGTTCACAAAGGTTCTCCATTTGTGTTGTTAGATGGATCCATTTCTGTTTCATCAAAGTGTTTATTGCACAGAAAAATGAGTTGGAATATACTAACTAGACTCACCTTTACAATGAGACCTATAATTTCTTCATTTATTTTCTTTTGGTTGAGAATTTTCAAACTAGAGAAATCTTCATGTGCCAGCACTTGTTCATGAGCTTCTTGATGATTTTTTAAAAACAGATGTGAAAGTTCACTGGAGGGAAATCCTGACTTAGCTGATCCAACAAGTTGCACATTGTTTAAAGCAAGAGACTGTTACAAGTCTTGTACTTGTTTTAGTTCAGTCATGCCTGTCCAAGACAGCCATCCATTTTTAGGGGAAAAGTGGTCATCTTAGACACGTGGTCCTGTTTAACGGTGTCATTACAATATATAGAAAAAAATCAAGGGGGAAAGAGGAAGTGGTCATTTGTACAGGTGATTGTCCTGGACAGGTGGTTGTTCAATCAGGTTCAAGCGGGTGGTTGGAGGACGCCACTGGTAGGTCCTTCTTCTTCACATTCTTTCTGTTGTTCTGTCTGTCTGTCTGTCTTACTTTTATCATGCACTAAATGACTATTATAGTGTCAGTGTGCTTCTCTTTACTCAAACAAAACAGTCAGATTCTGTTATATTTGCCTCAATAATTTCTCCTTACCTCACGTCCAGGATGACACACAAGATGTGATTTCTGAGATGAGACAGGACATTGCGCGATTGAGGGATAAAATAGCAGCTGCTGCACAGCCTGAAAGGGATGATGTTGCAAAAATGGAGGTATGATGTGTTGTCAATGTCAGTGCTTATTTAGGTGGGGTTTTTTATTGCAAGATTATTTCAGAAACATCTTGTCTGTATTTAAGCCCAAACTTTGAAGGCTTACTTAACAGTTTACTTCTTAGTATATTGTAACATTTATTCTTTCTTTTCATTTTGTTAATTTGTTGGAACGAAACTGTTTGAGGATTTCTTTTCGTTTCATTATATTATGTTTTGTGTTATATTTACAGGCTCTGATCCAAGATTTAGAAATTGCAAAGAAGCAGACTTGGGCTGAGAAAGAAAAACAGTCAGCGAAATTCGAAGATGAAAGAAAAATTAACCTGGCAAATAAGGTAATAGCTCTGATGTTGTCATGTGTCCTTTTGTGTGAATCTTCAAAAATCTGTATAATGCTTTCAAACCCCAGAATCATTTCTTACTTGCTAAAATGAGGTGGGAAGAAAGGCAGTGTTGATAAATTGGACAGACTCTCTGGAAGTCAGGCAGCTGAATAACAAAGAAAGTGTTGGATTGGAATCCACAGGGTAAAAGTTCTTAAAGGCCGCGTGGAATCCGGAAAAGAGTCACAGAAATTGATGTACAGCAAAATGGGAAGACATGGAATAACATCAAGAGGCTAGCTCATGATAGGGAAAGGTGGAAAGTGTTTGTTCATTGCCTATACCCTGATCCAGGGTGAGAAAGGGAATGATGATGATGATAGATGTAATCTTATGTAAGCAAATTACAACCTACTTTGAGTGAAGCTATATAAATAAATTTTGGAATAGATACCAAAGGTACAAAATGGCCCTGGCATTCTATTCTCAAAATGGCTCATAACTCATTATGACTCAGTGCGGAAATCCTGATTTGTGCCGGCTCACTCGGGATGGATGGAAGATATTTTCTTAACTCTAAAAGCCTGAGTAGACAATGTAAGCCTCTAAGCAAGGTACATAAGCTTATTAAATAATATCTAGGTGTGAGTCTTGGTTCTTTCTTATCAGTGGACGTTGTTCATTTTCTATTTATAAATTTTATTATCTTAATGAGTTGTCACAGGAGAGAGCTGGAGACTCTGATTCTGCTTGTACTAGTAAATTATGACAATCTTTGGTGATGTATGTTTTTGCTAGCATGAAATAATCATAAAAATACTTGGCATTTACATAGTGCATTGCCACAATTTACAATGCATTTGAAAGGCACACTAACAGCTTACAATGGCATCAAAATACATGAAGCATTAGCACACAAGGGCATTCATGTAGGCCTATATAATGCAGACATACGAATGTCATAGATATGTACAGATAACACTGATAGGTCGAATTCGTCAGGACCGGCCTTAGTAGTTCGAGGGATCCGTAGTTTGAAGGATATCTTACAAAGAACAAGAAGAAGAAAAAAGGGGACTGCAAGCACAGTTCGACGGATGCGTGATTTCAAGTCTTCTGTGTTCGACCTATCCGTGTTATACTGTATATTGATGAATAAATACATAGAATACTTAGTGTAAGAGTCCATTATATGCCATTTTGAAAAGTTTTACAATGAGCAGTTGATATGTATACTGGGTAAGTATAGATAAATATTCATCAGACCCATTGCTTTTCACTTACCCACAAGTGATGCAATCATGATCTTGTGACTCTTGCAGGGTATTTTGGAGTGGGTGATGGACAGCATGAAGAAAGGGAACAGAGAGGTCCAGGAACAAATGATGTTGCTCCAGAAAGAGAAAGACCAGGTATATATCTGTGGTGAACTCCTTGACTACTAACCGTATATGCACCCCACATGCTATGGAAAGTTATATTGTGCACAAGAGAGACATGTCCCAATCTTTAATTGATGTTTAGTTGCTTGTAAGTAGAGACAGATCAGTAAAACTTATATCACTAGACAGAGAAATGAAGAATGAATTCATCCGTTGACAAGATGTGCATAGAACAAGCCATAAAACATGGGTTTTAGCCGCCATACAGGATACTTTTACAGAGCACTGGGTGGCTGGTTATCTGTAACAACAGTAAAGTCAAAGGGTTAACGATTGGGTTCATTTAATTCATTATGTCGAACTGGTTACAAACTGCACTCTCCCTATTTTATGCAAGACTTTCATGGACTTCCTTTTAAATACCTTTGCCAAAAATGCTGTAATAATAAATGATGGTAATTTTTATTTATATTGCGTACTTCCACTAAGAAAGGGCTCAATGAGCTTTACAATAATACAAAGAACACGAGCACCATACAGTTGTAATAACGATCGTTTTTCTGTCTCTCTTCCCCTCGCTCTCTCTC